TCCTCCGACTCCCCGCCTGGGCCTCAGGCCCCCACATGCGTTTTCCTCGCACTTTCCACCCATTGCGTGGCCTCGAGGGTACGGAGGGCGGCAAGCGTCCAGCGTCGTGTTCCGGACGACGCACCGGCTCCCTCGGCTGCCCAGCCTCGGTTCCCTGGGAAACATGTCCGCAAAGTGTTTTCTCCTAATGAATCAAATATGTCACTCACGGCGGTGCTAGCAGCAGTTACTCTTTTTTTTTTTTAAGATTCAGTTTTATATATTTTACCTATTTTTATTGATGTCAGAGAGGAAGGGAGAGGGAGAGAGAGAGAAACATCGATGATGAGAGAATCATGGATCGGCTGCCTCCTGCACGCCCCCCACTGGGGATCGAGCCCGCAACCCGGGCCTGTGCCCTGATGGGAATCGAACCCTGACCTCCTGGTTCATAGGTCAACGCTCAACCTCTAAGCCACGCTGGCCGGGCAGTTTTCAAGTTTTACTTTTTAAATTAACTTTTTTTTTTTTTTTTACTGTGGCCTATGCTACATTTTAAAAAAATTATTTTTCAAAAATAATTTTTGAATAAAAAATAATTGCACCGGCCGGGCAGTCCCTTTACCTTTCTTACCTCCACTCCCCTCTCCTCTGCAAAGAAAGTCCGTTCTCTGTGTTTATGTGTCTGTTTCTGTTTTGTCTGCTCACTCACGTTATTATTTTTTAAATTTCACGTGGAGCTTGTCTTTTTCTGTCTGGCTTATTTGACTCGAACCACATCCTCTAGGTCCGCCCGTGCTGTTGCGAATGCTGCGCGTGCACTCTCTTCCGCGGCTGCGTGATATTCCACGGGGCGCGCAGCATCTGCTCCTCCTACCGCGCCCTCGCACGCATCCCATCGGCACCTCATCTTGGCTTCTGCCCCTGAACCCCGTACGTGGGGCTCCAGCGCGCTCATGTGTGTGGGTTCCCCTACGCACGTATCTCATTAAATGTGGCCATTTTCTCTTGTTACTCTGTCTCCTGTGGATTTAGTTAATAGACCAGCAAAAAGAACCTTGAAAAGTAGAGGGAAGGTTTTTTCCCCTGCGTACAAGTGTTTACTTCCTAGGAACTGGTTCATTTTGCCAGAATATCTAATCATTTTATTTTCTCAGCTCAAATATAGGAAATCAGCTAAATTAGCAATTTTGATACATAGCAGAGTTTCTTACCTTATTCTTTGGTTAGAAAAGATATTGAAAAGAAAAATAGCCCGGCCGGCGTGGCTCAGTGGTTGAGCGTCGACCTAGGAACCAGGAGGTCACTGGTTCGATTCCAGGTCGGGGCACAGGCCCGGGTTGCAGGCTCGATCCCCAGTGGGGGGTGTGCAGGAGGCAGCCGATCCATGATTCTCTCATCATCGATGTTTCTCTCTCTCTCCCTCTCCCTTCCTCTCTGACATCAATAAAAATAGGTAAAATATATAAAACTGAAGCAGCCGGTGGCCTCTCAAATGTGGCCGCCGACATGAACGGAAACGCCCCCCTGAGCCCTGGGACAGGTCCCCGGGGCTGGTCCGAGCCAGTGTGAGCGGCAGAGCCTGGAGGAAGGAGGTGGAGAAGCCACGGGGAGCGAACAGGCCCTTAAAGGGGCAGGAACATTCCTCCTGCCGCCCTCACCCTACTGCTCTGACATCCGTCAAGATCCTAATCGGCTCTGAATTCCTGGGCTCTTGCAGGTAGCTGCCCCCGAGGTGCCAACAGCAGCTGACTCGGGGGGGCACGCCTGCCTTTGGGGGTTCCAGCAGCTGGCGGCAGAGACAGAGATGGGACACCGTTGAAAAGCTGTAATTTTGTCCGGCCGGCGGAGCCCGGACGGAGCCCCTGTAATTACTCTCTCCCCCGCCCAGGCCTGCGGCCCTGGGCCTGCTCAGAGGCAGGAATGCTGACTTCCAATACGGCACCGGCCTGGGTCCTGGGAGCAGGGGGCTGGCGCACAGTGAGTCCTTTACTGTGGTGACCGGACCACTTCTGCTTATTTTTTAAGCCAAGGCTCTTAATGGAGGAAAACCACAGACCTGCAGGAGGCAGCCGGTCCATGGTTCTCTCTCATCACTGATGTTTCTCTCTCCCTCTCCCTCCCTCTCTGAGGTCCATAAAAATATATTTTAAAAAAAGAAAGAAAAACCGTAATTGCATGTTCTCCTGAAGGTTTACCCAAACGGCTGGTTAATTTCCCCGGGGAACCTACTTCCGCCTTCATGGCTGCAGCCGGGGACGCGGAGCCCTGGTTGCCTCGGGTCCTGGGAGGCGGCCAACCTGGCGAGCTGAGCTCCTGGAAACGAACTCGCCGGCTTCCCTCGGCCTCTCCCTCCTCGTCGGGCTCCCCGAATTCCTCACCTCCTGCCTCAGCCCCTCAACCATCGCGGGTCCCTGGGTGCGGTCACCCTGAGCGGGCCAGGCAGCGAGGCACAAATGCAGCCTTTGTGTTGAACTTTGACGGCGAACTCTCTTTTTTCTAATAAAAAATAATGATGATGCATCACTGATGTTTCTCTCTCCCTCTCCCTCCCTCTCTGAGGTCCATAAAAATATATTTTAAAAAAAGAAAGAAAAACCGTAATTGCATGTTCTCCTGAAGGTTTACCCAAACGGCTGGTTAATTTCCCCGGGGAACCTACTTCCGCCTTCATGGCTGCGTCCGCCTCCGGGGACGCGGAGCCCTGGTTGCCTCGGGTCCTGGGCCCACCTGAACCATCGCGGGTCCCTGGGTGCGGTCACCCTGAGCGGGCCAGGCAGCGAGGCACAAATGCAGCCTTTGTGTTGAACTTTGACGGCGAACTCTCTTTTTTCTAATAAAAAATAATGATGATGGTTATCCCCAAATAAAAGCTATTTTTAAAAAATATATTTTTATTGATTTCAGAGAGGAAGGGAGAGGGAGAGAGAGAAACATTGATGAGAAAAACATGGACCGGCTGCCTCCTGCGCGCCCCCTACTGGGGCTGAAGCCCACCAATGGGGCAGGTGCCCCGACCGGGATCGCACGTGACCTCCCGGCCGACCAACGCTCACCCTGAGCCACGGGCGGGCTGACAGCTGTGTTTGATGAGGAACCTTCAGAGTCTAAGCTGCTGGTCAGGTCTGCGCCGAGTCCTAGCACCTGGGGGGCCGATGCC